GTCAGCTCTGGGGGATGTGCTTGGGTTTGTGTCTCCGGCTGTGGCCCAGCAGGGTGCCCGGCCTGCCCGCCCTCTCTGCCTGACCGTCCCCGCGTGTCCGCGCTCAGCACCTGAGCTGCCACCCTGTCCCTGGCCCTGAGGAGGAGGAGGTGCAGGGCAGGCATGGGGCAGGTGTGCAGAGGCCGAGCACCACACCTGGGGCAGGGGACACGAAGTCGGCCAAGCCTGAGGGCTGGGGCTCCCAGAGCAGCAAGGGTTTGCGCTAAGACCCCCGCTTCCAGGCCTGGCTCTGGACGGCTCCAGAGCTCAGGAATCCCTGCAGATGCGACCTTCTGTAGTCTGCATGCTCTCTGCTAATCCGAGACCTCTCTCTCCACTCCTGCTTACGTGGAATTACGCTGAGACCCCAGTGCAGACATGCGGAAGCAGACAGCGTTCGTGCCTGCAAACCTGCAGGCCCTGGGAGACGCGGACGTGCTGGTGCCCTTCCCTCAGCCAAGGGCACCTGGCTGCCACCAGACCTCCCCGGGAACAGAGGTTTGACCGTCTTTCCCGAAGAAGTGGCTTTGGGCAGGACTGAGGTTTGAATTCTGCACCCGTGTCCCGACTCTGAGCCGCTCACAGCCCATGGCTCCATGGAGGCTTCAGCCAGCATCCCTGGGACCCAGCATTCCTCCCCAATGGCACTGACCCTGGCCCATGGCTAGGGTCCCCGATCTCTGGGCCAGGCCGGAGACAAGACAAACAGGAGCAAAAAGACAAAAGGGACGTCCCTGGGGGTCCATGACCGAGGACCCCAGGCTGTCTGGGCAGAATTTCCCTCCACAGCCCTGGGAGACACGCACATGGGGCCTGCACATGAGGATTCAGAGGACGGCTGAGCTACAGGCACGAGGAGCCCTCACCTGCTTCCTGAGGTCCGTGATGGTCTTCTGCATCTCCAGAACAAACTCCCTGAAGTCGCTCGTCCCCGGTACCTGTGGGCGCTCGGAGGCGGCGGCCGTGGCGTTGCTGGGACGCTTCCCCTGTTTCCCAACTCTGCACGGGCAGGTGGGGAGAGACCAGTGAGACTCCGCGGTGAGACCCGCGGTGCAGCTGGAGCCAGTGACAGGGTGCTAGCCGCAGTCTGCCGGAGGCTGGGGGACACGGAGTGGTCACGCCACGTGGGGGCCATGTGGGACGCCCCCCCGCCCCAGGCCCCGCGCACGGTGCACGGCCTCCGCGCGGGACTCGGCCCTACCTCGACATCTCCCGAGGTCCGGCATCCCTGCCAGGCTCGTCGCCCTGGTAGCTGAACTCAAGGGATCGCTTGCCTCGGAAGTGATAGGAAAAGGCGTTGAACTGCCCCCTGGTTCTGCAGTCTGAGAGCAAAGTGCAGGCAGGTCAGTGGTCGGTGGCTCTCATCAGGGGGTAGCAAGTCCCCCGGCAAGTATCACAGCCTTTCCCACGGGACACACCCTGATGCTCCCGCCTGTGGGGCTGAGGGGCCCTGCGCTCACCGCTCCCTGACCGGGGCGGCGGCCTGGCCGGGGCCTCCCACCTCCCACTACTCCTCCCAGGGTCCCCATGCACAGCTGGCCCCCGAGTCCTGGGAGTTTTTGTACTATTTCAACAATTTCCACAATTATTCCAAAAATTTTCAAAATTGTGTGTATGTGTGTGCCTTCTCCCCTGTGACTCATCAGCCTCCACAAAGAAGCTAAATTCACAACTCTGCTCAGAAGCAGCAGGTCCGCCCCCTGGAACCGCTCCTTAGCTTCTCTGGAGACGCGCGGGAGTCCTGCTCGGAAACACACGCTGGCGTGGCTGAGACGTGAGCTTAGCAAAGTCTGCGCTGAGTGAGTTTTTATAAAAGTTGGGTTGAAAACTCAATAGCAATCAACATCTGGTCCTATAAACCCTTGATTCGTTTTTTTCCTGCTACTTTTTGGGTACGGCTTTTAGGCCAAAATGAAAACAGATAAAGCTTACAAAGCATTCTCTGATTTTATGAGCTGAGGGCCATGCCTGCTATTTTAAGAGGAAAAGTACCCAGGAAAGGCTGTCTCGCTGCGGATGCCTGAATCTCTCTGACCAGCCACCAGCGACAGCGGGAAAGGCCCTGTCAGACGCCACGGGGGACTCAGCCTGGACTGAAGACTCAGGCCCTCGAGGGCTTCAGATTTGGGAGCAAAGAGCAGGGAACCTGTCTGCGCCTTCCTAAGCAACTACGAGAATCTGCCCACGTTCTGAGAAAACGGAGTTTCTGCATCTGAACAGAACTGGCTTTTCCTAATGATTTTCAAAGAGAACAATTTTCTGCAAATCCAAGAATCAAATTCTCTGTCATATGTGTGGTCAAGTGCTGTGACTCTGAGAAACCAGTCAGAAGATGTAAAAAAAGCTAAAACAAACAAAAATTCCCCGAAACTATAAAAATGAGAATGCAAATGCTTTGGAAAATTGGGCACTCGGCTAGGAAAATTTTAATTTCACGTGAATTCTCCTACAAGGTTACAAACCACATGTCATGTACACGCTTAACACAGGACACGTTTTACGTATTATGTTATGTGTATAATATACATAAACAGAGAGGAGAACCCACAGAGGCAGACACAGGACCAGATCACACACACACGCCACACACCAAGACGTGAATACTTAATATTGAAAATAACAGCTTCTTAAATAGGTTCCCAGTAGAAGCAAGTTGACCACAACTATTTCCACACACCAAGACGTGAATACTTAATATTGAAAATAACAGCTTCTTAAATTGGTTCCCAGTAGAAGCAAGTTGACCACAACTATTTCTACAGGGAAGAAGTGGAAGAGAAAACTCTGGTTTCCACACTTGGTGGCCACCGGCCTGTGGGGCGAGGGTGGGGGTCCAGGGCCCGGGCCCCCCTCGCCCATGGTGCCCAGCTCGGACATGGTCCGTGCGGGTCTCCCCATGCTGGTGGCCTCGGTTCCCTCACCACAGAAGAGCAGGGTTACACGGGGTGCATCCTAAATGTCCCCCAGATTGAATGTTTCCTGGGTCTCTGATCATAGTTTGAATAAAACCAAAACCATGTTCAAATCAGAACACGAAGCCGAGGTTAACCACGGGCGGGATTTCGGAATGTCGAGAAGGAGCCACAATGTGGGGGCAGCAGCCGCACGGGCGGCCTGAATGGTGCGTCCAGAAACCACGCAAAGCCGCAGGACTGGCTGCCCCACCACTTCCCAGGGCCTCCAGGCTCTGGAGCTCGAGGCCACCTCCCACAGGAACGTCCCGTCACCCCTCCGCTCCCCAGAAGGAGTTTTACAGCACGCTTCTCTGGCTGCACGAGTGACTGCGGACGCAGAACAGACCGCACACACTTCTAAGTCACAGCTGGTCTGATGCTCTGTGGCTGTGTTTCTCGCTTATCTCTCGTCTGTGGGGCACAGATACACAGGCCGCCCAACTGGGAAAGAAACTACGGGCAAACGCCATGAAAGCCTCGTGTTCTGCCTTTTACTTGGTATTTTAGGTGTCATATTGACTCCAGTCCCTGGGCATCCCAGATCCCTCACACTCATACTTTGTCTCAGGCTCCGTGCGGACTCACCGTGGTTTAACAAGCGCCCTCCAGCCCGCCTGCCCTGCCGAGCCCATTCCCGTCCGCACTTGTACCCACGCCATCAGTGCGGGGGCGCTGGGCCCGGCCCGGGGACGCTCACCCTCACAGCAGTCCTGCCACACGCGCAAGTCCACTCTGGGGATCTCGTCACAGCTGCTGTACCCGTGCGGGAACTCCGCCACCCGGAACACGTCCCGCTGCACACGTGTGATGTTGTCTGAGTTGTCGCAAAGGATCCGGGCCAGCGACGTCTGCTTGATCTGTGTGAGCTGGGCCGGGGTGAACACCCCCGGGTTCTCGTACCACAGCCTGCGTCCCCAGGGCGAGAGCGAGCTCAGAGCGCGCAAGGGACTCGAAAGCCCCACCAACGGTGCAGACGGCAGTGGCGCACTTAAGGGTCACATAGCGGTGGACGCACACGTTGCTCTAAGCCCCACTCAGAAAACACAGACCAGGAGGTCCGGACTAAAGCTGCAGAGGGCAAGCCCCCTGAGAGCCCACTCAGGCCACTTTCCAGAAACACTGCCGGCACGTGGCCACCCGCCGAGTGACCCAGCGGCAGGCGCACCTGCCTTTACCTGTCCCCGTCGCGTAAGCGCTTGAACTGCGAGCTCAGCAGACACATGAGGGTGGGCCCCAGGCGGCTGCCGGGCACCAGGTCCTCCACCACGAGGGCCGGAAACAGGTCGATGTTGAGCGGGGAGCCATACAGCCTGCAAAACCCAGCGGGGCCTTCGGTTCACTGGGCGGAGCTGGAGCTGGCGGAGAGCCCCCCAGTGACGAGGACAAGGGTTCATTTTCTCCGTCATTATTTGCATCATTCGGACCTTCACGAAACACATCCAACTCACTGCTCTTTCTTTAAAGCACCTTACCTACCCGTTATCTTTTAAAGAAACGTCCTACTTTCTGCTTAAATACACGCAGAAAACAGACACATAGATACATTGACTGTGCAGTTTAGAGCAGTCCAGAAAGCAAGGAAATTAAAGCCACGCCTTTCCTGACCATTCAGAGACACCTTGACATCTTAACATACACCTGTCCAATATTCTTTTATAAGCGATATAAGCTGAAGACACACTTCGCGAAGATTACTGGGGTTCTGCCACATACTGAAAACACATCAGCTCTGAAGACGCTTCTAAGTGGAAATAGAGCAAAAGACTAAGACGGGAGAGCTTAAATGTTCAAGAACAAACTTTTCATCAAAAATTTCCAATTCCTTAAAAATACATGAACAAGCAAAAAGCTGACCCTCTCTATCACACTCTTTTCCAAGCTCTCGTGCCGTCCTCCGACACCTGCCAGACAGCAGCCGGTGGTCAGTTTCAATGTTGCTCAAATGAAGCTCAAGTCGATCTTTCAAGTGCGTCCTACAGCGGAGGCGCCTTCCCCAGCCCCTGGATGAGGGACGGGGCAGCGGACGAGGTGGTGCAGGGCCCGTCTGCGGTCCCTCAGCTCAGGAGCAGGGTGCACAGTGGTGTTAGACGGGGGAGCCCCTCCCACGGAGCCGCTGCCCTCGCTCTCCAAGGTCAAGAATGGTGACACTGAACTTTAGTTTGGACGGAAATACAATTGGAAAGAGCCCGGCCAGTGTGGTCTCTGCCTGAGGGGCTTTTCCCAATGGAAACAACCCGTTCCCAGGCAGGGTTCCCTCCGTCTGCCCCAGCCCGAGTGACCCGCCAACAGGGGCGGGCCGCCCACGCTGGGGGTGCAGACCCTGGACAAAGGCAGGCATGGGCCCTACCCCCTCACTATGCTCCCAGAAATGAGGAGACCTGACCGGGCGCCACCGAAACAGGCAGACCATGTGATTCCCAGATCCCCGCTTCAAAGCCCTGGGCTCCCTATGGCTTCCCAGGGGATGATGTCTCAAACTCACTGCCCTGTGTCCTCACTCTTCCTGGCACCTGCTCTCGTTCCCAGCCTGCAAGCCAGGGCTGACGCGGAAGACAGCAAATGCGTGGTTCTCCTGTGGGTGTGTCTCCCTGACGTCCCCCCAGGGGCCCTTGCCCTGCTAGCAGTGCTAAGCTGGACAGAGGGTTCTTTAAACTGTTTTGAAATAAGTTGGGCAAAGGAGAGAAATGCCAGGAAAGTAATTGCATCCATCTGGATGAGAACCTCGGAGGGTACTTAAGCACAAAACATACAGACAGTTCACAGTCCCTGGCTGAGCATCACGGCGGCACAAGGTCCCCGTCCTGCTGGAGGGTGTGTTTATGTACCCAGCAACCTAACACTGATTCAAAGGAACGCTGGAACATAGTAAACTTCCCAGAGCACGAAGTTCACTTATTCACAACCTGAAACAAACTATGAATAGAAAGTCATTTTCTCCACAGGCACAGGCGGGTCCCAGGGGAACACGCCTCAGCTGCAGGGCTAAGGGCACAACCTAGGAACGGGCGAGGCACCCTTCCGCGACCCGGAGAGCCAGGAAAGGACCCCGAGTGAGTCTTCACGAGAGAGGGTTTTTCTCTCTAAAACAACTCTTTCAAACGTGAAAGCACACGTTGTAAATGCGCAATGACCTGTGGACCTAACTCCTCCGTCCAAGGACCACGAGGGGTCATTCTGGAAAGAGTAACGAGTGGCTAAAGGCTCCCTAAGAGCCTCGGATAAACAACACGGGAGAAGGGACTTCAGGAGGAAGGGCGGACCCAACACGAGGAGAGCTGGCGTGAGTCCCGGAGGCCCCGAGGTCTGGTTAGCAATGTGAGAGCCGAGGGCCGGCAGGCTGCTGTTGGCGGGAAGCCCCCCGCGACCAGGTCTCGGCCCCTCGGCCCCTGACGGGACCAAGCGCAGCCTCCGCTCTGTCCACGAGAGGAAGGGGCCCTGACCCACAGGGCGGCGACCTCACACTCCCACCCCCGCCCAGTGAGGTCCCTCCCGGGAATGAGCGAAGCCGCTGCCCGCGGGGCAGGAGCCCAGGGGGCGCGGAGACCGGCCAGGCCTGGGTGACAGCTAGTTCAGGGAGAGGCTTCCGGACTCCCCGCCGCTGACCCACCAGCCCTGCCTGCAGGCGCTCTGGCGCCCGGGCTCCTGCGGCCGCAGCAGAGCCTCCTCCCGAAGCCCCGACAGACCGAGGCTCAGTCCTGACGCTGTTCCCAGTTGATCCCTCCCCTCCCCCTCCCCGCCAGGCCCTGCAGACAAGCCCCTCATCTCCTCACGCTCACTGGGGGCGTGGCTGTGGTACCCAGCTGCGGGTGGTCCCCCACTCCTCCGCTCCTGACTCCTCCCCTGCAGACTCCAATCCGGGGACGGGAACCAGCAGCCAACAGACGCCCAGCCCGGGGCCTCCGCTCTCTGCCGCCCCCAACC